ACTACGATGGTCGGGCATTGAATGTATTTTAGTAGAAGATCGATAAGGAGAGAACGGGGACAGGACGCAATTGGTATGAAAATGTATGAACAATGAAATCAGAGACTATGGACTGTTAATTGCAGAAGGAAGGGTCAAGATTGAGACAATTGATTAATAATTTGCAAATTAACTGTATACTGTATGATTGTCAGATTTTAGTGCGATAGTCTGTAATTTTGTGTTCAAATACATTCGATTGTTCCCACTCGTGTTCTCATTCGCTACACTTAATGTGTAGAAATAAAAAATATGACATCAGACTAACTTATTTAAAGTTAGGTGTAAAGATTTGATTTACACTAAGGAAACTAAATTAAAAAAACTTTAACGGATAACTGCCTCTATTTCATTGACATTCTTCTTAGAAATAAGATCTTGATATTCGTAAATTCCACTTGATCTATCTGCCATATATAGATTTACTTGAGTGTAAACATAAGGGTGAAATAGGGTTCAAACCCAAATAGTAACTGTAAGTAGAACGAGTTTACTACTACTACTACTACTACTACTACTACTACTACTACTACTACTACTACTACTACTACTACAACTACTACAACTACTACTACTACTACAACTACTACTACTACTACTACTATTGTTGTGAACAGAATACTGGTTGGGGACAATCGAATGTATTTAAGCAAAGATTACAGACTATCTCAGTAAATTCTGATAACCAAACAATGAACAGTCAATTTGCAACAGTGCATACATACACACAAAATTGCATACATGTCGCTTATCAATCACCTTGACCGAAATGAAATGACGTGACAGTGATTTATTCAGACCTGTTTTTGATTGATCACCTAATATTCTTGGATTGTTCCGTTGTACTATTTAAACTTGGATTAATGTTAATTTGGTTATTTATTCTCTGAAGAAGTGGCTTACACTGAGTCACGAAACGTCAGAAAATCTAATTTTTCTACTCATTGGGATATTACAAATATATTATTTATTTATATTTATTTTTAACAACCAATTGTTTCAATCTTCACTGTTTCTTCTCTTATTCCATTGCTCATGCATTTTCCAAACGATTGCGCTTCATTTCAGTTCTTTGATCATCGGTCTTCTGCCAAAATACATTCTATGTCTGACCCACACCATATACTACTTATATAGATATAAGTAGACCACACCACACTACTACTACTATTCTACCACTTCATAAGAATAGTATTAAAAGAAACATTTTAAACTGAAATGCAAATTTTTTATGTAATTTATTCACTGAAGTACTTGTACATTCAGCTAACATGTCCCAAATAGAAGTGAATCTGTGTCTTGAATTTCATAGCTAGTCGCTGTTTCAATTTTAATTAAAGTTATCAATATACTTTTACAAACAAACTTTTTTAAGGTTTGTTCAAACAGTTTGTACTTATAATTTGATTGGTTAAGGAAAACTATTCCTTCTGGTTGTTCAATAAGGGCCCATTATCTGACTTTTTAAGTAGTTTCCTAAGCGCTTAGTATATCAGTGCCACATGGAAGAGTGTAATTTTCACTGAGGAATCTAGTTTAGTCACCCAAAGTCATCTACATATGCCCCTCCTCGGTGAACATATTACTGAAATGAATACCAAATTTCCGGATAAAGCAAACCCGATAAAGTATTGTCTGGAGCCTAAAAAATGAAATTGTAAATGAAAAATATGCTGATCCTTAAATGAAGGGGAAAAAGTGCTAGATATTACACACTTATTGAACAATGAAGAGTAAATACACTAAAAATTCATGGACATATATCCTACCCCATCTAAATGACTTAGAAGGTTTTATATGAATTTACATAGGATGAATAATTTAAACAACTAAATTGTCTATATTGAATGTTTCGCAAATCATTTAGAAGTATTCGTGAAATATTGAATATTAAAATTACTTAAAACACTTATCCTTTCGTTAAACAAAACTTAATGACCACTGAACTGACATCTCACAACAGACCTGATTGAAATCCACTGGTTACAGCTTCTCACTTGAAATCCAGGAAATATTGTGGATGATCACTCCTGAGGAGTCCCATACTAGGATGAAACAGCCATCCACTGTTTCTAGGTTTTCCATCGTTGTTTAGCTTTAATTGACTCACCAACTCAACTACAAAATTTCTAAAATCTTCAGGAAACCTCCTTCTGATAAAAATTAACGACTTAAATAATACATCTTTAGTTGTATGAAGAACATAGTAGAAACTGGTCTACGAGAAAGATTGTCCAATTATCCTTCATTCTAACATTTGGCTAATACATAAATTAAGTTAATCGAAACTGAAATTGTTTAAAAATGGTACTTCTTTATTTAGAAGTTTCATCATAGTTCTCAATGAACTTTCTAAACGTTTATCTAAGAATATTTTGTTTATATGAATAGACAGATTGAAAAAAATATTTAAGTGTTATATGAAGACACCATAAGCGAAGATGGATAGTGGCTAGCAGTGGAATCCAGGACGCGCGTTTTGTTCTATTTTGAGACCTGTCAGCAGGATGTGCCTGCACCCAATAGTTGATATTCACTCCGGGACTCGAACCCAGTACCGTTTGCTTCAAAGACAATCACATTATCCATTTAGCTACTGAGTCTTGATAGCCGCTAACTTGTTCAATAGGGTGAATTTTAAATTTATTTTGTATTGTCTGTTTGCTAGCCACCATCCATCTTTGCCTAGGATACGTATATGCCAATAAGAAACTAATCAATTACAGTTCCAAACATCAATGGGAAGATTTAAACAAGCAGTACAATGTAACATAAATAACTGAACATTAATTTTAGAAAAATCTTAGACTAGACTGATATAGTTACATTCTATTTGTCAGTTCGTTTTAAAGAAATCCACTTCAAAATAATCTATATAATCTTAAATTCAGAAAGGGATTTTATGGATATAATAGTAATTTCATAATTGAATTCAATAGTCAATTAAAGCTAGATTACCATGGAAAATCTGGAAGTACTGGACAATCGTTTTTATCCCAGTAAGGGACTCCTCAGCAGTGTTCATTCACTCACTAGAAAATTATCATTTATCAACTATTCAATTAATCATGATTATCTAGTCTCAAATTAGCATTAAAGTATTCACTGTTCATTTTTATTTTAACTCATTTAATACAATTCAATATATATTCATTGTGTTACCATAGAAACTCATTAATAATGATAACTGATTTGTATAATGTGGGAAATAAGGTAGCCAACTTATTGCAATACATAGTTGATACTCTTCACTTTGATAGTAATATAATTCTGTAAGGAATAAAATGTATAAAAATAATGGCTAAGTTTCTAGGTCATTAGTTAAACTGTCTCTTAATTTGTTATATATGTGTGTTGTGTGTCTACCAGAAGTTTGTGCTGATGATGTCGTTTAGAAGAACGATGAAATCTTCACGACTGAACCACCCAGCTCAGAGAAGAAAACTCCATCAAAAATGATGAATTGTACTATTATCATGTGAGCTTATAAAGTCATATTGGTTACCATATAATTCTACATTATTAATATGTGTCTTCATTGATCTGTGAATATATATATGGGATCTTAGAAGATTATGACAACTTCAAGAATAAACTAGTCAGTTTACAGAATACATTATTATGAATTGATCGAAACTATAGACAGAGTCACCATTTCGCTTGAGGTTAACTTAAAGAATGAAGTAAACATTAACTCATGAAGTTGAAATTGGTAATGTTCTTCGAAACAACACTAAAAGATTAATAACTTAATCAATCCGATTGGAGAATTGACATTGCATCGGTTTCATATAATTGGGTATGAATATCATCTATGCATATTTATATATACTAGTATTTATCTAATGAGAATCTTAGTATGATTATATTCTTCTATAGTCTTTTAAGAGATGTCATATACTTAAGATAGTTATCAGTATGAACTAAATTACTGGATATATTTCATTGAAAAAGAAACATAAGATACAATACATCGAATGAATCATAACTAACTACTAAAGATGGCCTATTTGAACATCGGGGCTATCTATACCTCCTATCTAGATATTTCAACAAGTCATCCGTTTTTTATGAGTTTATGAAAAAAACCACTTACAACTTGTACAGGTTAAAAAAAAAAGATTCCAATCAGAGATATTGTGGAACGAAAACAATGTACATTATCCAGATATCTATTCATGAACTGTTAACAATTAATTAAAGATCATTCAATAATTATCGTCAGAATTGATCAAGAATAAACAAAAAGAAACTTGGATTGCGAATGCGCACTACTGAGGTGTCCCACAATATGACGAAACGGCCGTCTAGTACTTCCGAGTTTTCCATGATAGTCTAGCTTCAATTGACTGATGATCTTAAGTATTATAAAATTATTAAAATCTTCACAAAACCCCTCCTACTAATAATATACTATTTAATATCACATAAAAAAGTAGTATCCACAGTAAAATATACATTCTACTAGTTCAATAGTTCATGAACAGTTTCTTTTAATGAATATAGGTAACTTCACATTTCAAATAACAGAAAGAAAACTACTTTCAACAATTTGGATAAAGTTAAAAGGCAAATTTTAAAATAGTGATTAAGTTCTAAGGCAAATGATTGATGAATACTAGTTATGGACAAACCAGTTTTCCAAGCAACTACTTCTCAATTATGAGAAAGGATTTTGTGGAGATTTCAGTATTTTCATAGTTGAAATCATGAGTCCATTGAAGCTAGACCACCATGGAAAACTTGGAAGCACTGGACGGCCATTTTGTCCTATTATGGGACTCCTCAAAAGTGTGCATCCACGATCCCGCACTCAATTGTTTAATATATATATAAAAGATGGATTCATTATTGAAATTGTGATTACATACTACTACTACTACTACTACTACTACTACTACTAATAATAATAATAATAATAATAATAATAATAATAATAATAATAATAATGGTAAACTTACATATATGTTTATGTAGTACTATATATATGTGTGTTTATACGTAAATATCAATTTCAAATAATGTGAAAGACCAATTTCGATACGAATCTTTTTGTTGTTGTTGTTGCTGAGTAGTCACAATAAATTAAAACAATTTTAATGGTTCTATTACAATTTCTCTGTTTAATGTTCAATGTTAAATTCCATTACTATTTTTCATTTAAATAATTAGTATATTTTATTTTTGTCACTATGGAATAGGTAATTCGATTCCTTTTCCTATTGGATTCATTAAAGTATTCAATGTAGATATCTATCTATTATGTAATAGTTTTACTTGGTGTATAGAATAATAGTACCAAGAATGGTATAAACAATAATTTGTATTTACTGGGATATTTCAAGTATCAAATGTATTACATAAGATGATTAATAGACAAGTGATCATTCTATTCAATTCAATTCAATTATAAGTAATATAGGTGTATTTATAAATGAAGAATATATTAGTTAAATGTTAATTAGGAATAGGAAACTCTTAAAGATGTACGATATTGGTTTGTGTATATAGTTGTAACCGTCTATCATTCTATGTGTATGTATATATTTATGTGTGTATATTTGTATGTGTGTGTGTATGTCATGATATTCTTTAATCATCATTGTATTGGATACATTTCATCGTTATAACTAGATTATAGGAATGTCGCCCAAAAAATTACAACCAATCAGCAATAAGCTAATGACCACCACCGCTCAATCATCCGCCCACCCCTTCAAAATAAGATTAGTCGTTAAAATAATATTTTTATTAGAGAATCAATGTGGACATAAAAATTAAAAAAAAATAAAAAAATAAATAAAGGAATTTTAACCAACTCTTCATTTAATTTTGTTGTTGTTTGTCTTCATTTTCATTTACTACCATACAAACAGTTTTTCCTATACATATTTATTGTTTGTGTATATACATGTTTGTGTGTTTGTATATATATTTGTACATAACTAACCCATATACTATTTACCTTATGTCTTTCCAACACTAATCCATTTTTTATTTACACACATTATGGAAAATTTGCCAACTATCAAGAATTCTACAGAAGTAAACAAAGCGTACCAATTGAATTTCTATAGGTTACATAGAATATTTTTACTCAATCATGTAACGCCCTTATTACTGATTGGTTTATTCATCTTTTTTATCAATGATTTACATCGGTTATATAGAATGATTATCAATAATGATTATTTATATATATGGTAAGAGATAGAGAGACAGAGAGATAGAAAGAAACAGAGAAATATATCACAGGGAAGAATTATTTTCCATGTCTATAAAAGTGATAGAATGAATGAGTTTAACAAATAAGCCAATAAGAGATATAATAATATAGATATTAGAATTATATGAGACAAGAATGATATAAGATAATTATAGACTTAATATAGACATTATTTATGTAGCAAAAAAGTTGATGATCTATTTTGAAAAGGATCCAATTTAAGATTTTCTCGTGATATTGTTGGATAGTCGGGGTAACCCTACTAGTCAACTTAGGTTGTCTCAGAGATCGAACTGAACACTCACTCTGTTGTAGTTGATCAATCCTGGGTCATATATATATATATACTCAGGGCTAACTTTACCACTAGGGCTACACGATGTGTATACATATATATGAGAATTGTAGAAGTTATCGAGCCTATGTAGTTTCTAGTATATAGTTATGTACAAATGGTACGGATGAGTTGTCGTACAAAGGAAACGTTGAGTTGAAAAAATCTGCCCTATGTCTAATAAAATCAGTGGTTTATCTACCAGGTCGCAGATATAATAAAAAGAGGTGATAGCAAATACTAGGGTAAGGTGACCAACAATTTCCTCTTAGAGAGCGTTTATGTTTATGTGTGTGTGTGTCAAGAAATATGGGGGCGGTAGCCATGATGTGAATGATATACATATAATGTGTAAGTCAATCTAGTGTAGTAAATATGTTTTCTTTGGGAGCGGTGAAACATTACCCTCCCAGGTAAGTAAATATACCTATGTGTAGGCTATAGGATGCATGGAGTAAAACCTGTGTGTTACCGGTGTACATGTAATGTATATTTGTTCATAGGGTATGTATACCTGCATGTATGCCAAGTGATACTTGGATGAAAGTTCGTGTCTTAACTAGTATGCAAGTAGATTATATATATCCAGGGTAAGTGAAATCGCAAACTTCTATACTTGTTCTTTTGGTGTGATACTATTATGAATATAAAGACCCGTGAAGCCGTGGTCACCACTAAATCACATTCATGCGGTGGTTTTGTAAGCTTCTAAATCAGTGAAACTAAATACATATTATGTCCAAAGTAACACAAATGTACATACTAGAAGTTGTCACCATTCACGTTCAATACAGACCGAGTGAAGAAATTCAAAAGGCGAAAGATCCTCTATGTGAAACAATATTAAATATTATAAAAAATGTACTTCAGCGGGAGTAAATAATGTTGAAGAATGAAAAGAATATATGTGATAACAATGATATTTAAGTTGTAGAGAATGTATGGAACGGTACTAGTGTTATCTTGTTAGAACGATATCATTGAAAGTCTTCATCACTATAGACTATTTAATGAATAATAACCTTGGAATTTGTAACCCCTCATAAAACTTAGATTAATCGGGAAGCACAAGAGTTTATACAATTTGCTATTCTCTGATTTTCAATGTTTCTCTAAGGGATGTTAGTTTGTAATCAGAAGGGGTTTTGTGGAGATTTCAGTATTTTTCATAGTTGAAATGATGAGTCATTTGAAGCTAGGCAACCATGGAAAACCTGGAAGTACTGGACGGCCGTTTCATCCTATTGTGGGACTCTTCAACAACAAAAATTCTTACTTAATAGTAAATTTGAGCCAATGAATGCAAAAATACTCTAATGTTATTTGATGGAAAAGCCATCCTCCAGATTTGATTATAATGCTTGTGACTTAATGGCATTATCGAGGTAATCCACACAGGAGCACATATATGAAAAATAAACTGGTCAATCACAGTGTCAAGTATCAGTGTAAAGATTCAAATAACGAATACAAATGAATTATAATTATTAAAAAAAATAAACATTTTACAACAAACCAAAAATCTACTTTTTAAATGTTATTAGTATTCACATACAGAAGTAGTCACTGTGTATCCGGAGTCATAGATACGCGCTGCTGAAGAGCCCCATTCCGTGATGAAAAGGCCGTCCAGCGCTTCCAAGCATTTAGCATGGCATTGATAATACTACAGAATGGTTTGTTATAGACTCATTAAGACACTTTTAGGTCTAGTCATAAGAACTGAAGGTCCCAGGTATTATCCAGATGCAGATTATGATTGCTTACAGTTGAACAATCACATAATAAAATAAGACAACTGTCCAGTTCTATCTGGGTCATCTATGGTTCTATATCTGTTTGCAGTCTGTTCTGAAAACTATTTCTGATAGATGATTTAATATCTATAACGCCTACCTCCAGATAAACAACAGTTTAAAAATATACTTGTTTTACGTAATTTTAATCTTATGAATGGATTCCATAAATAGGCTGTTATATTGTTGAACGAAAAATATTTTTCTTATATAGGTTACACTTACGAGATTATTTTGCAGTTCTATAGAACTTGATACCATTAGAATAGCCGTCGGATGCCGACTCAGTGGTATAGCGGTTAAGCGTTCGCGCGCGAAACTGATAGGTGCTGGGTCTCGCGAGGCGGGATCGTGGATGCGCACTGCTGAAGAGTCCCACAATAGGATGAAACGGCCATCCAGTGTTTCCAGGTTTCCTATGGTGGTCTAGCTCCAATTGACTAATGATTTCAACTATATAAAAGAACTGTATTTATATGATTAGTTTACTCATGAGTAATCTGAAGTGTAAGTTGAAAGAAAAAGAAAGTTAATAACTAGATTGAATTTAAATAATGAACGTGTTAGCAAGATACATTCTGAAATTATAGTCAACATCTTGGTTAGGTTGTAGGTAGAACACATACTATTAGTTAAGGATTTTACTCAATTTATTACCGAACGTGAACACAGAAAATAAAGGGCTGATTCTTATAACATAAAGAGAGTGGATATTGTCTTCAATGATACTATTGTATAATCGTAATGTTGTACTACTAGATAAGTGCTGAGGTCAATTCATGAATATTAATCAAGCAGTTCAAATATTTAAAGATTTATCTTTACACCTGATAGTCATAGATTTGGTGTGTAATGATGTCATAGTTGCATACCGATAGGGAGCCTTATAAGACAACGAAAATACTGTCTAATGCTTTCTGGCTTTTAATATAATCGATGGGTTTGTGGAGCAACGTAAGGATATGCAGTACCATGGTAGCCATTGACCAAGGATTGATTCATATGCCATTTATTCTCTCAGGATACTGGAGCCCATATGCTTTATTGGTTTGGAATCAGGGTTTATCAACTCAACTAGGTGGACTTTCTGTGTCCACCAACCCGGTTAGAGCACCGGATATTCGCTTTTCGTGTTGCTAATTTCGTAAACAAGAAGGCACGAGAAGGCAATGAGTAGAACGTCCCTGGGACTACTCAGCAGAGTGGGATCGTGGATGCGCACTGCTGAGGAGTTCCATACTAGGATGAAACGGCCGTCCAGCACTTTCACTTTTCAAAATGGTGCTCTAACATCAATTAACTCATGATCTCAATTAAAAGGAAAATTACAATATTCGTTTAATCATAACACTAACACAATTAAAGACGTTTTCAAACATAACTTTAAATGAGCAACTAACTTTCTTTAAATAACCAATGGAAAGCAGAAAGGAATAAACATTTTAAGCAAAGATCGCTGATGACTAGCAATGAAATCTATGACGTACCTTTTATCCAATTTGAGACTAGTCAGCTGAATGCGCATGTGCTAATAAGAAACTGATCAATTGTAATTCTAAACGTCAATGTGAAGATTCACATAGACAATACAAAAATGAATTAAGACTCAACAATTGTTTCGTTTTAGAATCAGCCTCTTCAACAGTGTCTACTCAAGACACTTAAAAGACTGAAACGCAGGATCTTCATGCCTGATCTATTATTCAGTAGTTAATATTTCTAACTTGCAACAGCTCACAAAACTCTACAATCATCATTCATTGTCATTGACAATGTTTTAGTTTCGATCTAGTCAGTAAATACCCATTTACATAGTTGAAATCATGAGTCAATTGAAGCTAAACAACCATGGAAAACCTGAAAGTACTGGGCGGCCGTTTCGTCATATTGTGGGACTCCTCAGCAGTGTGCATCCACGATCCCGCACTCGCGAGATTCGAACCCAGGACCTACCAGTATCGCGCCAGAGCACTTAACCTCTAGACCACTGAGCTGGCCGGCATCCAACGGTGTTAATTTCTAACTTCAACCAATCCACAATTATGGGCAACCGTTCACAAATCGTGGATCGTGAATGCGCACTGCTGAGGAGTCCCATAATAGGACGAAACGGTCATCCAGTGCTTCCAGGTTTCCCATGGTAGTCTAGCTT